AACAAACAAACAGGGCTCAGCGGTTCTGTGGCCTGCCTGGCAAGCACAAGGACCCGAGTTCGATCCCCGGCACACACACACACAAAACCGAAACAAACAAACAAACAACAACAATAACAAAACACAAAACATAGCAGTACAAACATACTTGCCTGATTCTTAGATCATTGTTCTAGGGATTAGAGGCAAGCATGGCACAAGGGCGTGGTTGAATGGTCTGAGGTAGATATGTCCTGTAGGGCTAGTTTCACAGATCTATTCTGAAGTTTCTGATGTATTCTAAGGGAGACCTGAGCAGGAACTTGCACAAGACTCACAGCACCCACAGACGGCATACTGACAAGTGGAAGCTACACTCCCGCAGACCCCAGCCTATGCATGAGGGTGAATCACACACTGAGGAGGGTTTGGAGATGGTGCAGATGATCTGGCCCCTCCCTGCACATCAGCCACAGGAGCTTCCCCTACTCCACTCTCCGACAGCCCTGCCTCAGACTCGCACCCCGAAGGCTGAAGGCCGGGGCTTCCTGAAAAACTCAGGACTGATGAACATATCCTTTCTAGGTATGTCTAGTTGACACTTTTCCTGCTTAAGCCCTTACATGAGTCAAAAAAGGAATGCATGTTTACAAAAGAGCATGAAACTGTCTTTGGTTTTGTGGTGCTAGGTATTGAACCCAAGGCCTCTGCCATAAGCGCCATCTGTAGCCCACTTTTTATTTTTACTCTCAAGTTCTCCCTGTGTCACTACGTTGTCTAGGGTGGTCTCACTTGCAGTCCTCCTGCCACAGACTCCTCAAGTCCTGGGATTACAAGTGTGTGGCACTGGGCCTAGGTTATGGAGCTCTTTAGATGATGACTTTGCTGAGATACCTGAAAACTATAAGAACTCTGTATTTGGAGTCCTATTTCAACATGAAGCAATTTCTCCTTTTGGGTTTTGTCATTGTTGGGTTTTCTGTTGTTGCTCTTGTTTTTTTGTACTAGGGATTGAATATAGGCCTTTGCACCAAATTACATCCCTAGCAGTTTTATTTTTTATTTGAGAAAGGGTCTTGCTACATTGCCCAGATGGATCCTCCCCACTCAGAATGCCAGAGTGTAGCAATTACAGGCCTGAGGCACCATACCCAGCAATAAAGCAAGGTCTTAACCAAAAACTGGAGAAACACACCAGGTATGGTGGTGCACAACTGTAATTCTAGCACTCAGATGCTGAGGCAGGAGGATCACCTTGAGTTTGAGGCACACCTAGGCTACATAGTGAGTTCAGGCTGAGCTATACAAGGAGACCTTGTTCCAAAACAGGAGAAATACTATTTCCTTCTTTATTCTAGGCTTTTTTTGTTGGTTGGAAATTGATTGTTAAATTTCACATTTAAAGTTTCTGTTAGATATTGCAGAAAGTGAAAACCTGTATTATAAGGCACAAAAATTCTGCCCAGGAATTTAGAAGCTTAGCATGGGCAAGGCCTCATAGGTAGATGAAAAGTGAATTTTAGAAATTAAAAAAAAATCAAGATCCTCTCCTCCCTCTCCTATTAAGAATGGACCTTCCCTTGCCATGCGTGGTGGCGCACGCCTGTAATCCCAGCACTCAGGAGGCTGAGGCATGAGGATCGCTGTGAGTTCAAGACCAGCCTGGGCTACATAGTAAGTTCCAGGCAGGTCAGTCTCACCCACATAGTGAGACCCTATCTCAAAAAAAAGAATGGACCTTCCGGGCTGGGGATTTAGCTCAGGGGATTTCGGCGCTTGCCTCACAAGCACAAGGACCCGAATTCCATTCCTGGTCCAAAAATAAAAAAAAAAAAGGCAAGAATGGACCTTCCTTCAGCTCTCCAAAGGCTCTTCTGCAATGCCAGCTCCAGGATTCCAGCACTCATGGGGCTGCAGCACTCCCTCTAAAATACAGAAGAACTGGGCCAGGGATTTAGCTCAGTGGTGCTGCCGCCTGCCTCCCAAGCACAAGGTCCGGAGTTCAGTCCCTGGTACCAAAAATAAATAAATAAATAAAAATAAAACACAGAACTTCAGGCTTTGCTTCTCCAGTGGAGCTGCAACATCTTCATTTTCCCTTCCTTCAAGGACAGAAAGCTCCTGAATCCATTAGAATGTGGAATGAAAAGTCCTTCTTAGGATGTGTTTTAGTTTTGGTTTCTCTGGGACAGAGTCTCGCTATTTGGCTCAGGCTGTTCTCCAACTCACAATGCAGCCCAGATGGCCCTGAACTCACTATCCACCTGTCTCAGTCTCCTGAGTGCTGGGATTAGAGGCATCAGCCATCGCACCTTGCTTCAGTTGTAGTTTTTTCAGTTGTGGGATTGAACCCAGGGCCTCTCACATGCTAGAAAATCACTCTACCATAGAGCACCATGGCCAGCAGCCCTAGGATTTCAATGTACAGAAATCAAAGCAAAACTCTAATAATCCCAGGAAAAATCGAGGCACTGACTAGCTTCAAAATAAAGTAAAATGTGCAAATTAATTACTGGATTAATTATTATAGATTAATCACTCCTTATAACATACCACACAGACAATGGAAAAAATTAGTAACACCAACACCCACGATTAGCATGATTATTAATTCTAGGTGGACAATTCAGATATAGTCACCCTTAAAAGGTGGCCTCTCACATGTCCTCCCCAAAACCCAGTTCATCTTCTGTCTAAAGTCTAGAATTACAATGCTCAAAGACAGCGTGATTAGTGAAAATCTATAGGCTTCACCTTGATTGCCCTTTTGGACCACTGATTGAAACCAAAGTAGTAATGTGCCAGTGGTTGGCATCGTGAGCTGATCGTGGCAAGGGTCCGATGTTGAGCCACCTTATGTCTGCTCTCAAGAGAAACCTAAAGACACAAGAGATAGACCCACGAGTATCACCACCTGTCAGAAATTTTAGTTTGCATAGACCTGAGATTTATCAATACTACTTCATACCGGGACTGTGAAGATTAAATGGGATAGAAAGAACCTTTTAAGCACTGTATCCATAGTGAGCCTTAAATAAATGGATTTTTAAAATATTACTTTTAAACCATAGCGCTTTTCTGTATCATTTTCTGGGACCCTGATTAATTGAAAGGTTTCCCTGATCTCTAGCAGTAAATAGTCATGAAAGGAGCAACCCCAGGAAGACCTCCAGGAAAATTATAGGGTTGGGAGTGCAAAAAAGTTATTTCGGTCTTTCTATCCAATAGATGCCAATTAAGAATATGACCTAGGGCTGGGAATTTAGCTTAGTGGTTCTGGCACTTGCCTCACAAGGGCAAGTTCCCGAGTTGGATCCCCAGTACCCACCCCGCCAAAAAAAAGACCTAAAAAACAAATGAGATGAGGCTGCCATCCACTCCCTCTGCAGGTTACTAATCCCTGCTAGCAGAGGGGCTACACATACCCCTGTGACTTTTACAATCAACTAAACCATTACAGGCTCATCTGCATTAACAAGCTTCTTTGAGAATGCAAATATCAATATACTGGTAACTCTCCAAATATTTTACACATTACTGTAGATTTCTTATATCACCAGTTTGTTGTTGTTCTTGTGTTTTTGTTTTGTTTTGAGACAGGGTCTCACTGTGTAGCTGAGACTGACCTGGAACTCATTATGTAGCCCAGGCTGGTCTCGAATTCAGTGATCCTCCTGCCTTAGCCTCCCGAGTGCTGGGATTACAGGTGTGTGCCACCATGCCCGGTTATCACTAGTTCTTTTCTGAATGTTTATTTCATTTTTTAAAAGGGTAGTCTATGAATATTTTAATAAAATTT